GACTGTGACATCACAGTACATTTACTCAAATATTTATATGCCCGTAAAAATATACATAATTTAATTAAGAAAGATGATATCCATAATATTGACGTTAGATCTAAGTCCAAACTCATGGTACCACGATTTCGTTTAACTAAGGTACACGATTCTTTTATGGGGAACTGTATACGTTATTACAATAAGATTCCGGAGAATATATTAAGATTATCATAAGTTTAAAACTTACATTAAAAGTATTTTAATTGAAAAGTCATATTACAAAATTGAAGAGCATGTTTAAGATAAAGAAGTATGGAAAGACAACAAGAGTCTAGATTCCACACAATTATGATTCAAAGTGTATTCGATAGCATTTAAGTTTATTTGAAAAGAGCAATCCCTAGAGTCTCTTGCTCGTTCTTCTCAGGGAGGTCAGCGTAGTGAACGAACAGTAGCTTAAAAAATGACGTTTTCAAGTGTACAAATTTTACCTATGGAATAAATGATTATTTGACTTTGACTTAGAGAATGTAAGGTAAATATTACAGAGGCCAGCTGTAATCGGGCCGTTTGTTGCGTGCATATGCCGATGGGTCCAAATAATCGGCCCATAAAACCAATTACATATCGTAATGAAGACATTGCATTATGTAATTCGAATTGATTTTTTAAAATAGTTATAACTTTTTATTAAAAAAAACCGATGTCAAAAGTTTGTGGAATTACATCTATTTGCCAAGTTTTATTGACATCAGTAAACAGAAAATGTTTGAAATCCAATAAACCGGACCATCTTCTAATTTACCACCCTTAAAGGTGGAATATTTCTTAATAAGTCCTTTGAGCCATGTCTTCGTTTAATTATCGACATACTCAGTAATATTTTTCATAGTAGTTCTAATACATTATGTTTTCAATTTCTCTTAGGTAACTTAGTTCACTTATTTGGGTTTTTTACATAGTCTTTTAAGCGGTGGGAGTAAATATTTATGTTTTCACTTTCACTTAAATTACATTATCTTCTATCACTTTTAATAAAACTTTGAATTTATAATTAGTGGAATTTTCTGGATAAAGTCTTTTGTAATTTGGCTCAAGATAAGGAATATAGTTCTAACTTTCTTCATCACTATTTCTTTCGTCGTTTTTTCTTCACAATATACTTAAAATAAAAATAATCTTTGTAAAAACTGTACGCGTAACTTCAAGAACCCGCCACTTTTTTTTTCAAGGTGGAATATTTCTTTTTTATAATACCAAGTGATGTAAGTGACCATATTTTATATTGGGATACTTTTTTGATAAGTAGCCTTCATGGCCTAATCTAACACATAGAATAAAATATATAACTCAAATAAAAATAAAATAAAATATAAAATATATATTTTACCATCTCCTACAATAAATCTTGTGGACGAAGTCAACTGCATTCTCATTTCTCTAAGGCTAGGCTACACAGTTTATGTAAATACTACTATCTAAAAACTGACTGAGTGTACTTCTTGGGTTATCAAGTTTGACTCCAAAACATGATCTTAAAATAACACTATATGGAGACTTCTTACTTATGCCTTAACATAATTCCTTTGTTAAGACTTGCTACTATAGTCTACAATTTTCAGTTAATCAAAAGAGTAATTTGTCTATAAAAGTATTTGTTTAATAAGATATTTGTAATAGTAGCGTATACGTGACTAGCTAATACATGAGGATGGTTGTCAACAACAATGAACAGAAGAGACAGGAAGTGAACAAACTTAACTAAAATTTGTTTCCTTTTCTTCAAACAAACCTATGTGTTGGGCCATTTACAGGCCCCATAGTCACTGTTTCAAAAACAACAAACTACAGGAGGCAACCTTTTTAATACATACGAAATTACGTCACACTCGCAGTATTTAATCATCTCGAGATTAATCCCATTAATAACCTCCTGTGCATCTTGCCGATTATGCGCTCCCTCACTTACTGACTAGCACTTATAAATGTCTTTACATTATACTAAATTTAGTAAGTGAGTTGCATGATCAATTGAGCATAGTAATAGAGAACCTAAGCTATTTCCAGCGAAAAAACGAGGATAAAACGAAAATACCATGTCTAAAAAAGTTGATTGTCAGCCTACTATGTAATATCGGCATTTTGTGGTCAGATGTGAACCACGACTGACGACTAAACGTCTAGCGCTCACCACTATTGCAGCTACTGAAACGTTAGGTTTGCGCCGAAGTTAATAAAATTATGAAAAGTCTCGTCCGCAACTCTAAGTTTCAACTGAATGGATGGATCTATATAAATTGTTAAACGGAATAATACAACTACGTATAAACCAGTGTTTTCTCTTATGTAATAACTTCTGTATGACACCATTCAATCACAAACCACTAGAAAAATATTACGAGACGAACAATCTTGCCGAGGTAAATAGAATTCAGTTATGTTTTGCAACTTTAAGATATTAAGTCAATTTATACTTTATTCCTTAATCACTTTAGTGTAACTATTTTATTTGTATTCTAGTATATTTTTTTAAAGTAACCTAAAAATGTTAAGAACTATAATTTTTTTCTAAATTTTCATATAAATTACGTAGCGTTTAGGAAGTCAATGAATTTTTAGGTTTTATGTATATTTTCCTCACATAGTTTAATCCGCACGTATTTTTCTGCTATATTCCTGCGACTCACTTTCGAACACGATTTATTTTATAAGTTCCTACATTTTTATCGCTTCACTTTATGAATGGTATATAAAATATATAATAACTAATAATTATTATTATATAACAAATACACTTAAGCCGGCATTACTTCAGAATAACGTGTCTATAAAAGTAGTTCACAAGCATGAATTGGCGTTCTTCAAATGATTTATAAGTTACCTAAAAGATAAAAACTTGCACTATAAACTATCGTAATGCGCTCTTGAAGTCATGACAATTCAATGACAAGAATAACAAATACATCCTCTATAAACTGTCTATAGGTTGTACTCCTAAGTCACCCTAAAGACTCTTGTTCCTTTTTACTAGAGATTATCTATATCTCCTGAAGATATCTTGAGCTTGTTAAACTTACTCTTAGCTAGATCGTCAAAATATGACTCTATTAGATATCTACAAAGCCGTCATTAGACTACGGCGTGTCACTTAGAAAACCCGAGAATAAATATTTCTTCACTTATTGATGTATATGAACTTATATAAGCTCGCGGTCCAAATTTTGAACTCGAAAGGTTCCTAACAATGGGGCTTCGAGCACTTTCAAGGATAACTTAGAGCCGCCGCTTGTCGCCAGCCGAGCGCCGATGTGTATCTAACATAATGGCGCGTAGGTACCAATTAGGAAAATCAATTTAAGGATGACACAAAATTGTTGCATTTTATTTATATTACAACAATTTTCCAGTAGTGTCAAAAAATATTTTTATTTCATATTATGTGTATCATAGAAGCTAGTCGCTAACTCGGGTCACCTTTTACCACTTACCTAAAAATATCATCAATTTAAACTTGTGTACGCATTGCAAAATTCGAATGTTTTAACTTTTTCTTTGAGTTTGCTTTTTTAAATTCCAGACGCAGAATAATAGTCGAGTAGTCAGAATAAAAGTTGAGAAAATCTTCATAATTAATTTGAATGAAGAAAAACCACATGAAAAGTATTGCATATGCGGATTACTGAAAGATAACGTTCTTAGGTGCGTCAAAACTACTTCGCTTTTTTATATATCTCAGTATAAATAGTAAAATTCATTTTACCAATCAAGTTATACATGTTTTACGCCCAACCAGAAAATCAGGTCTAGCTACGGCCCTGATTCGGAAATTAAATAAATATATAAATTTGATACAGGTAGTGAAGTAGATTACATGATTCTAAGCAATTTTGATTCATACTAAATCTCGATCAACATCAGCAAAATGTATTTATTATTAAGTAAATGCATTTATATTTTCCAAATTGCTTGTGAGGTATATAAGTAATTATAATAACATTTCTTCGATATGTATTACGTAAACATTTTTGGTGACAACCCTAGAAAATAATGCCATTGGTTTAACTACTATCAAATCGACACAAATCGATGAATCGATTTTGAATTTGTTATCTAGTTCGGCACTGGTAGGTTAAATGAATACCAACGAATAACTTACAAGGGGATCTGAATAATCGACACGGAGTAATCAGATCGCTATCTATTTAGTGGATTTATAAGGATCTCCCACGTTTCCTGTTAACATTACGATTTCTTATCTAGATGCACCGGCTGACATTGTAAATATTATTCAGCTTTAATGCTGCGATTAGTAGGAATGGCACAACAGTGGACAATTTCACTTTCACATTACCTGTAATTCCTGTAAGTGACTAAACAAATAGTAAAAATAAGTAGTAGGTAAAAGGTTCATTGGGAGAGCAGGTTGTTTTTAAAGTGGAAATCATGACGACTCAGCACCAGCACACGAATTAATAATGCATATTTTCTTAAATTAATAGCTATTCGCTATAACCCAAAACTTTGCGATGAGTATGTCGGGATCGCATATCAGTCACACGCACAGTACAGATCGAAATTTAAATACAGTTTTCGTCTTGCCTATCGTTTATTGACGCAATCACTGAATACGAGTTATATAACCAACATATTAACATATTTTCAACAATTTCCTGGCAGTTTTTTAAGGGATATAAATAAAAACACTATTTATTATAGTAAGTATTCTCTTATTATAGTTAGTCGCGGCGCTTGTATAGCGAGTAAGAATCCCTAATAAAAACCTATGTATTTGTCCATACAAAAATGCTGTTTCAATTGCTCTCCGTGCGCATGTTACGACGACACGATGCATACAACGGCGCGTGGCGGCTATCTCCCTTAAGTCATGATATACCACAGAAATCTAATATTTATTTAGATTTCTGTGTGATATAATTACATACGAATACGCTACGTTTCAATTGCTCTCCCTTAACTGCGAATGTTCCCTATAGCGTATTTATGGCGCTGTATGACGGTGTGGCGGCTATCTCCCTTAGGTCATGACCTCTAGACACAACACAGAAATTCTAGTTTGAGCAAAAATCAATATCTTGTAAATTTCACTTTTCGAGAGTATGCGCCGTCGGCATGCGCGTCGTCTATTTAGGCACCGTCGTTTTTGATTGATTAAAATATAGGGCATATACACACTACTTTACAACTTCTGAACTCACCATTAAACGGAAACAAAGACAATTCGCTATAACGCGGCGATCATGTAAATATTAATGTCGCAAAAGCAATACGATGTAATTATGTCTCTTTTAAGTTCAAAGTCAACTTACCTTTGTCGTATCGGATTGCATGCTTTGCCCAAGAGATTCCGAGCCATGGTTTAGGTAAGTCCAAAAAGACAGCATCAGCTTGTGAATTAAGTTCCTCTCCAAAACCACAAGTTAAAACATCGCGGCACTTAACCTGTGACAATAAATTTATATAAAGTATGCTGATCTATATAATGTTCAGGCGTTCAATAAAAAATATATAATTTTAAATTCTTACTGAAACAAACTGATCTACACCATGTAGCTCAAATTCCTTTTGAGCAAATTGTGCCCGTTGAGGATGGAAATCAAAAGTGAACACAAAGCCCTTGGGTTTCACACAACGAATGAATGCATGTGTTAGAGAACCGCTGCCTGTGCCTATGAAAGAAAACCATTGTTAGCAAGTAAAGTAAAAGTAAATAAAGCAATTACTTACTACTCTTGAACAAAGAAGGGTACGAAGTAATCAAATTGAAACTTTTAAATTTCTTCATGGGTTTTACAATCTTCCAGACCTTCACAACTGCTTTGAAAGGACAGTACACTACAGGAATATCAGGGGTCACAACATGAAAATTGTCCGAAGGCCATCAGTCACCAACACTGCCCACCACATCTTTGGCAACAGAGTGGTTACAAAATGGAACAGGTTGCCTGAGGACTTGGTTAATGCTAGCTCAGTGAACACTTTCAAAAACCGGTTGGACAGCTGGTTAAAAAAGAAGAATTCGTGTCTTCTAGGTCTTTAAGATCTTCTAGTGTTTTGTGGACTTTAACAAAAAGATTCAGGACTATTTGTGAAGTTATGGACTTTATAAAAACTCAACACAGCTTTGATATAGGGTGTCAGCTTCAAGCTGATCGCCTATTAATAATAAATAAATTACAAGTATCATTATGTAATAGTTAAGTACAAGTACCTTACCAGCTTCGACTACAACTTTTCCAGGGATCAGATCGAGTTGACAGAGGATCATGCTAATGTCTGGTGAGTAGATAATCTGTGTGCGATGAGGGAGGCACAAGGTCCACAACTCGGGGGTGGGCTGTATGACGTGGCCCCACCCCTTCGATAGTTCCACCTGCATAACAATGACAATCAATTTGAATATGAACTTTTTGGAAGAAGTTAGATGAACAATTTCATGGTTACTTCACGTTTTTTTGTTTTTGGAGTTCTTTTTAGATAGAAAGAACTGCTAGTGTACTCAATATAAGTATTGCATAATCTTACATAGTTAGTAATAAATTAGGAAGTAACCACAATACACAGATAAATATTGAATGAAAATACCAAAATAAAATTTTGACTTACCTTGGAGCCATATTGAACTCCAATCAGATCCTTCACCTTCAACGCACCAAAGGGCGTCTGGTAGACATTTTCCACCAGTATTCCGTTCTTGTTTCTTATTTTCTCTTGCACCAGAACAGCATGGAGGTTATTGCAGAGATACAAAATCACAGTATCGTTCGGTTCTATAAATTGTTTATATCCTGACAAACTCATCCTCGGAACGTTCTTTCACTTAACCGAGAGGCTTTCGTTACAAGATGCGATTTATGCACTGAATTATATTAGAAAATACACTTTATGTACAACTTGAACTTTGTTTTTTTGGTTAAGCCGCGCCGAAGCGGCACTGACGTGTAATGATTTTCTGACGTTTGTAATTATACTCAAAACTATGGTTTAAATCTATATTATTAAAGTCTAAAATTTAATGATGATGTTATGTGAAATAGAATTCAAAGGGAATAGGGACACGGGGTTTAGCTCTGCGTTTAGTTTCACTCAGATTTGCGAATTGATAACTTTAGGCTCATTTATGATAATGCTCTAAATATTCTTTATTGGCGCTACTTAAATAACCCTATTGTAGAATTTCAACGAAGTTCGGTGTTTCTATAAATGTTAAGAATATTTTAAGCCGTTTATTGAACTCTACCAGAAATTGCAAAACGTTGTGAGAGTGTAGAAAAATACTAAGCTAGAGTGGGATAGTATATTAACAGTTCCAGCTGATTTTCTTCTCTTTCTTTAATACGTATTTCATATAATCGTGCTAGAAAAGCACATCAGATTATTTTGTTCTCGATGTAGCTTCATTCTTAAGAGTGATTGGTGATTAGTTCTTGCATATACTAGAACTGACCAATCAAATAAATATACATTTTACATATTGTTAATGAAAACGAACTCTACACCATAACACGCCTGAATTTGACGTTGATGCAGAACCAAGAGTCGAGTAAACTTGTTGAGTTTTTAGTTTGCGTTTGGTGGGCAAAAACGAATAAACGTTCGTTGTTGAACATGCTATTTATTCAAATATCTGATGTAAAGATCAAGATTACCTACAATTATTGAAATATGCAGCCCCTGTAAACAGAAACGCGTGATACTCAGTGTACAAGATATTAAAGGACAATGAACATGGACGCGTCCAAAATCACGAGCAAAACGAGTGCGTTGAAAGCATTGATCCTCAAAGCTTGGCGTGAGCGATGGACCGACATCCAGTGGGGCATCAATATCAAGACCATACTACCAAGAGGCGTAAGTGGCGATTTGTACAATTTAGCAGATTGCATTCTGCAGCAGGCAATGGTTGGATGCGGAGCTAATCAACTTGTAATATCGTACCTCAAGCATTCCTTGGCATCTCATTTGGTGTCTTACGCAGCTGTCCTACAACGAATAGCAAAATTTGACGCATTTCACAAACCTCATTGTATCATCAGCCTCCTAGAGTTTCTTGAAAGCTTTTTGGATAGTATCACCTGTCGCGGCAAATTAGAAGAAGAAGTGTTGGCGTTTGCAGTGTCATCGATAATACTGTGGCTCTTGCAAGTGTATCATTATTCTCTGACCAAATATCCTTCATCAAACCCCATCCAATGTCAGGAGTTGTTAGAAAAGTCTACATCTTTACTTAATTCCATTGTTAACACAGACTTTTTGCTGGGAATGTTTTATTTGGCGAAACAACATGACCAGGAGGAGTACAATGAAGTGACAAAAAAATGTCAAGAAATAACAGGGTTTATGATGATGAATACTCAATTCAAAGCACCTGCTACTATACATGAGACTTTGCAGAAGATCTGCAATATGGACCTTGACAAAATTGCTCCTCTGAATAACAAGCCAGAGTCAGTGACATACTGCTTGCAGGCTTTGATTGCTATTGAAGTTTTAGCACATCCAAGTGCAGATTTGCAGCAGTTAGCTGGTCAGTTACTGATGATCCAGAGAATCAAGGGATATTCTTTGTCCAGACTGTATTGTGAACTCATTAGGGCTAGTTTTATTTCACTGAACGATTCTAGTAAAGATGCTTCAAAACAAGCTTTGTGGGCTGCATTTACTTTCCTCAAACTACCTCAAGTGATGCTCTACCTCCACACTACATGTGGCACCACTAATAGCGATGGGGAGTATTCAGTTGAATTAGTAGATGCATTTGAGAAACTACTACAGTCAAATCCCTTGTTGGACATTGTTGATACAAAGAACTCTTGTAACAGTGTCATAGCACTAATAGAGCCCCTAGTGAAATTGAATGTTTTGTCTGAAAGTCATTTGCAGTATTTTAGCCAAAAACGTGAGAATAAAGATATAAAGTTGCAAAAATTGGAGCCTACAGGATTGCAGGGCTCAGTACCATCATTCATCACACGTGCTGAGCCAACACTTGCTGGAGTTCTTAAAACTTTGGGAGGTGATTTTCATAAAACTCATGATTCGTTATATGTGATGTTTTGTCAGATTGTAGGAGGGACTACTTTGGATACCATACTTGCAGTTGCCACTGTAGAAGGCAGATTGAAACAATTTGTCTCAAAGCTCATAAATTTTAATGAATATGCATTACTAGCTGCTAGCGAAAAGGGAGCACCACTTTCTAAAATATACATCTTTGACATTTCATTTTTGATATTAGTATCCATTGTTCAAGATTATGGTTTTGAAGCTGTACTTGAAGAGAATGGAGAATCATTTTTTGAAAAGTGGGTAAGAGAATGCTTGCCTCAGAATGGAGTACATAAATCTCCTGAGCAAATACAACAAAAGTGTGACACACAGGTTATAGAAGTTTTTATACACCACCTGAGTGCTCCAGATTTTAAAAATACTAACCTCAAACCACATGACCTGTGCTTGAATGTGCCTGGAGTAATTAAAGAGATACTATTTGCATGGGAACAGGGATCATTGTCTGCAGCAGATGTGAAACGTATGTTGGACTCATTAAGACAAAAATTGGCATCGTTAGCTGTTTGCGCTTCTGTGTGGTTATGTGCTTATATAAATGTTGTACATCAAGAAGCATCTTTAAAACCTCTTAATATGATACAGCAGTTTTTGACACCAGCCGAACCTGAATTGGCACAAACAGATAATTTTAAGGACCGAATTGGGCTGATGTGCCAAATTGTAAGGAAGTTGCAATATGATATTCATCCCCCATCAGTACCAAAATATACCAAAGGATATACCCCCATTATAGTTTCACGTCAGCCTATTTTAGAACAACTTCAGGCTGTATGGGAAGATATCAAATCTAGGGGTTACTTGCACATTGATGCCACACATGTTGTTCTTAGTCTTCTTGTCACAGCTGGGCCAGTATGGTTTGCCTCAAATTTGGTAAAAGAGACATTGAAGTATAGGTACCAGGAGGACCTAGATAGGTCAGTGGACATTGTACTAGCCATGTTCCATTTCGATATTGAAAAATGTACTGTGGCTTTGTTACTTCATGTTTTATCACAGTATTTGTACAATGCGAAGTTGTGCGAAGAGTTAGTGGAGCCACAATCGGCGATTTTAGCAAAACTCTCGGTATATGCTATTTATGCGGCTCTGGAACATATCAATGCAAATAAATCTGACACTAATAGAAAACGACGATTAGAAGAGACAGAAGATGGTGAATGTTCCAGCAGTAAAGTGAGAAGACTTAATGACAATACGGCCAGTGAAGCTGGTAGTAGTTCTTTGCCTCCTCCAAGTCAGAGTCCTCCATCACCTGTAGCTTTGAAGGAACCACTTCAAACTGCTTTAGAAATACTGTTCACTTCATTTTCTCAACTGGCGGGCAAAAATGGAGATGTGACCCCACAAACCCATTTTATACTACAGTTTCTTATGTACATTGTGCAATGTGGACAGGACAGAGCTCAAATTGTACTACAGAAAATGCCTAGTGAATTAGTGCCTACTTTGATAAAAGCACTTCCAGAAAGTTTTAACATAAACCTGATACTCAGACTTTACGATTTGACCACACCACAAGGGCGAAAAGACACTGCCAGAGACCTGTGTTTGTTTAGGAACATGAGACTGAGACCTGACTAATAATTTTTGAGTAACAGTAATGTACTTGTAATTTTAAGTGAAGTTTCTTTAATATGACATTGTAACGCTATTGGATCGTAATCATAATAAAGTAGTCATTAATTGGAAATTATTTTGGTTTTTAATTTTCACAATTATATGGGTTTTCAGGAAATAAAATGAAGACTCATAATTTTATTGTAGTATCTTTACTTTTCAAATCTCAACCAACAACATAGCTTCATAATTTAAAACTAAACATAATCGTATTACCTATAAATGATTTGCAAAAATAGTATTTTTTACACTTTGAATTCTAATTCTATTTATTGGACGAAATTAATTATATCTTTTGTAATTTTTTACATCGTCCTTATTTACAAAATAAATGTCATCATAAGTTAATTTTTTTTATTGTGCCTACCTATATTTGTGTTCAAAAATCATTACAATAATTATTGACACCAATAATACATCTTTTGTATGCAGTAATCACATTGAATGTGAAATATAATAAACTATTTTTACATTTAGAAGACAATAATTTTTACAATTTCACTTCCTAATATACAATACACTAGATCCTAGCATTTTACAAAGTTCTTATAAACACAAAGATCACAGGAGAGTTCCAGAGCTTTTACTTATAATTTTAACAACAAAGGGTAACAAATAATATTGAACTATTTTATAGAAATATTATAGCGTCCTAAATCTATAGTTATAATGCAGGCTTTTTGGCATCCGGTGAATCTGGATGTGGACGATCTAGAACAATCAGAAATACACTTTAAAAATCACGACAATACGGAACGTGCCCTTACACGTTGAATACAGAATAATGTTGACTGGTAAATTTGACAATGGTTTCGCACATTCGCTGATCGCATGAAGAGTATTGAAAGCTTATTAAACATCTCGCATTAGCATATTGAAAAACGGTCGCAATGGCAGCTTTATGTGTAATTAAATGACAAACTTATATAAAAGACAGCGATGTTTCTTATTTTACAAAATACTACTTTGAGAACTTACCGATTTGCCTTCTAAGAATGTCTCCTTCTCTGGTCGCGTTGTACGCTGGCGGTGGATTACTGACCCTCATTTGTAAACTTAATCTATTAGGATTGCAGTTTGCAGACAGTTCAGTCGTTGTGACTGTGTTCTCCGTATTATTTGCAAAAGACGTCCTTTGGTTCCTATTCCATGTTTGCTGATAGGAACTTTCAATTGCTACTGCGTTACATCTATTGTTAGTGTGAGGAACATATTGTTCTGGTGACCAGTCGAATACAAAAGTATGACTATAGTTGTGAGTATAAGCGGAAGGTGTCCCGGATGGCGTTGGTGGCGTAGTCGTCACGTATGGACTTAAGTCTTGATGGCAAACATCTGGAACTTTTTGCAGTGCTGATTCTGACCATGTTGGACTAGGGTTCCATTGATCCACCACTTCTGTTTCTGTAATATTGAAGTTCTTGGATCCTGGCCGTCTACTAGCAATGGAACCTGCAGACACTGCCACTAACGTGTCTCCCCCAGAAGTGACTGTGGAAGGCGTGTCACGAGGGGACAAAGATACTGGAGTATTTGGTTTATCATCCGGGCTTTTTCCTTTCCGTTTGGCATTAGGCTGTATCCGTGTGTCTTCTATCCGTAGATTGTGGTACCTGTAATATGAAGCTAATGTTAACCATGTGGATTTTCAGCTTCGTGGCTAATTCACGAGGCCGTATGAGTCGCTTTTGTCGGTCTTACTAAGCCTAAAAGTATTTAAAGAACACCTGCTATTATTTATTTTACCTGTTTTCCTGCAGTGATACGGAATAATCCACTGGACCATTGTCTGGCCTCTCGTAAGCATAATGCATGGGCGTAAGATGCGGAGGGACGTGTGATAAGTGGGCTTGAAGTCCAGGATTGGGCATCATCGTGACTTGGTTGCCGTTAAGGCATACGGGCGGGGCAGGAGTGTATTGCATGGCCGGTGGATAGACTTGTATATCAGGCGGTGGTGGACCATACATCCTGGTAGCTGCTTCGTAAGCTAGCCCGTAGTGCAGTTTTGATTGTACGGCGTAGTAGTGGTACAGCCAAGGGTTCGCCTTCATCACAGCCGCTTCTTGCTCACTGTTGATCAGACATTCTTTATTGAGGTTACAATTAAGCGTCCCTGGTTAACGCATAGCCTGTTGTATGTAGGATGGGGTCGTACAAATGCTAGTTACAAGTACCCAAAGACAATAGGTGAAACAAAATTTTCGTGTTTTTATTTTACACCTTCCAAGATCAATTCATTTTTATATTGACCATATATCGTTCATTAGTTTATAAAATGTACAATAAAAATTCGCTCATATAAATAGGTAGGTATCAACTATTTAAATTTTACACGTTTTGCCCATTAGGACGACCGATAAGTGGGAAGTACCTACTAAAGTTAAACGTTAGTAGGTACTTCTCATTACTAGTAGTAGAAAGTAGTATCCCCTGTGATGCACTCTAGAGTAAGGAGTTCTTTACTAATAAGGAGATGCACTAATTTGTTTATACGTTACACTTTTGTAAGTAACGATAACCGCAAAGTTAAGATTTTTTATGCATTAAACAATTGCCTACATGCAAACAAATTGTTACGCGCTGTAGTATACCTAGCCTCCTAATATACATGCACTACTTTGCTTAACTTATACGTTACACTTTTGTAAGTAACTATAACTGCAAAGTTAAGATTTTTTATGCGTTAAATAATTACCTACATGCAAACAAATTGTGACACTATAGTATACCTAGCCTCCTAATATACCCAATAAGTCAACAAACGGCGCATACTTTATTATGTAACCTCTAATAGTCCATTTGTTTATGTTAAGTACGTAACAACAACAACAACATAAGAACAAAATGTAAACAATCTTGAGATTGTTTTATACCTATTGTTTTGTAAAACATTTGTTTCAATAAAAAGGCGTACCAAGATTGTTTATATTTAGTTTAGTACCTAAACAAATGGACTATAGTGTCGTATGCACGTTGTAATGCCTGAATAGATTTTGTTTTTTGAACACCTAAAATACCTGTTGGTACTAAATAATTTTGAGGGGCACTCATGCCCTTGATGTAACATTTATCCAAGTACGTAATACGCAAAGTATAATAGTCTTCAGAAACTTTTTTACACCTTTGATAGTTGGGTTAGTTGAACAGATGGAGGTATGTACCTACGTAGTCAGTTTGTAATTGAATCGTAATCATGGTGCTTGGTCACAGTGACTCAGGGGCCAGGGGCTATTCATATTAATCCGTTGGCGGGCGGGTCCTAGATAGTATATCTAAATTAATTTGAATGCACGAGTGGGTGACAGTCTAGTTGACCTAAACAATCAGTCGGCACAAAGGGCGGTGGCGCGGCCCTTTAGGCACTTACGTTTTGTAAGATGTTTGGTACATTGTGTGAGCGATTGCCTGTAATTTTTAAGCAATTATTTGAAGTAAGTTAGTTCTATAAATTTAGGTAAGTACTATAAACTAGTTGATGCCTTGGTTAATGTGTAGGTACCAAATTAAAACTTTGCTTTCATATTTAGAATTTTTACTTGTTTCTTTTTTTAATTATGAATAATTACAATTTTTACATAAATTTTTTAGTTTATTATTTTAATCTTGTATATTATTTTGGTTTTTAGTTTAACTTTTTTTATGTTAATATGTAGGTATGTACAAATGTATTGGGTTCTTTGATTTTTAAATGTTTAAATTTATTTTTGACTTTGTTGTAATTATGGGCATATTCCTGAGATAAAGTTTTCGTTATTTTGTCTATTTTATTAATATATATGTCTATATTATTTAGAGTCTTGCTTCTTCCGGGGCTTATTAGATAAACGTTGAATTTTTAAATTGGAAAAGATGGTACTCGCTGACCAGGTACAGTCGACTGTAGTCTGTAATTAAGTTCTATTATTACTATTACAACTTCTAAATTCAAGACTTCCTAGTGTGTAAGCAGTTTGTACTTGTATTTAAGGGCAATGCGTGGATATTTTGCAAAGTAACAAACTAGTGAAGCCAATAGCTTGAGAAGAAAACATATCGCATTGGCTACAACTATGTCATCTAGTGTGTCATAACTAAGAAGAAGAAATGAATTGTTCTTTACAAGTATAATAGAATAGATGCGATGCGACCATATTTTACTTGGTGATGGTTTCATGATAAACAATTAACAAAAAACATATTTTTCAATTTGTGTAAAAATGTAATGTTTAGAAACACAATATTTTTCAATTTGTAAAGATAAAAAAAATTGTTTTATAATATAGTATATATTTAAAATATAGTTTTATATCTATATCGCACATTTAGTTTATGACAAATGTCTCCATGCATCATCCCTTTTTTGAGTTATGTATTTCAATTTGTCAACATAACTTATTTACAGAACAGATTTATATAAACTTATAAACTTTTGAGACCCTTGTATAATATAACATTAAAACGTAATGATTAGACAGCTATTATTTTACGCCACCGATTTTCGTGTTGGAGCTTTTAAATCCGCTCTGCTCACAAGCTCGGTTGCATTGTTCGCGGGATTGCGTCATTTGTCACGTTTCTGCGCCGATGCTCTTGCGCAACCTACTCATGTTACTTCGTGCTTTTCACTGACAAATGCTGGTTGCTTTTAGTAATGAGCCACGCTTACACGATAAATCTAATTTAAAACATACATTTCTTAAATACTTGTTTCGGTGTTATACGCTAATGAATTGTTTACACTGTAGCCTGGTTTGCTGACGATTTGTTTAATAACCGGTAAGTTATAAAAGGAAGGCAATTTCATTGGTTCAACAGATGAACAAAGGGCGCAGGTTACGTGTGTAGCAGCGTGGTAATACAGTGCTATTTTCTAAGGGCCTAGCTTCGGTGCTATTCGGAAAGTTTTACGGAAGTTGACGATTGCATTGTTAACGTAGGATGTCGTTCTATGATTATATTCTACTTCGCTCATCACTTCACTTCTTTAAGTCTACCTTGAACTGTTTACACAATAAGTTACGCAGTATCACTTTATATTTGAATAGACTGTTACTACTACAACGCTATACAGTACATAACAGTTTATGCAGTATTTTGTATTAAAATGACGTTTTACCGGATTAAAAAGTTTCTCAACAATATCTATATTGCTTATTTCCGTAAAACTCGATTGACGACTTAGATACGAGTAGGTATGTCGAATACAAATTGTCGACATGTCGACCGCCTACGTCATGTCTGTTAGATTTATGCGCTCTGCCTTACGGAAGCACAAATTGGCGGGAAACCAACAACATGGACGGATACGTTAATTTCCAACATTCTACTTGGCTATGCGTAACGAGTGCTTGCTTGCTTTTATACAATATTTTTTTTTTTGTATCAGTATTCAGTGTGTCCTATGGCTATGCGACACGGAGGCAACTGAGGGACACTGCCACTGCGTCTGTCACCCTGATACATAAGTTGACAAGTCTCATGCACCTGTAATTTCACCATCGCCATTTACCTTTAACAACCGAAACACAGTAATGCTGACATTACTGCTTGGCGGCAGAAATAGGTAACGTGGCAGTACTTCCCTGGACGAACTCTTCAACAAGGAGGTCTACTGCTACTGCAAATACCGTAGATACATTGGCAGTTTCCAATTTGTTTCTTTTTCAATAAATTGTATCATTGTACGGTGCTCTTTTAATTCAAGGTACCATAAAAAATTATAAATTAATAGTTCTTTAAATTAACCCTTTCATAATTACTAATACTTACACGAAAAAGTTTTTTTTTTTACATTTTGTGGGTTCGATTCCCAGTTAAGGCAAGCATCATTTAAAAATCTTTGAATGAATAATATTATATATATTAAGATATATATAATATTACTTTTAAAAATAAAATAATATCTTCATGGAACAAAATATCCTATCTAAAGTATGTAAAGTACTTTCCCACCGTCTCGGCTATGCCGTGTGACAAAATATATAAACATTTATTTATCTATTGAACAAAATAACGGTAAGACAAGGTTTTTTCAAGTCATGGGTTTTTTATAATTGTTATTATTTATATTGCTACGTGTTTTACTCGTTTCTCTCGTTTCTTAAGGGACTCACCACTTTTATACACACGGAATTGCCTTGAAACGGTCAGAAAAACTTTAAGTCCATGTATTAAGAACCAAAAGCCGTTGCGCTTTCGCTTTCGCTCGGTTCGCCGACGCGAAACATGCAACGTCATTTTCGCTCTTTTTACATTTTTTAATTTGTTAAGCAAAACAAAAATTAGAACTAATTACAATGTAGCCTTTACATAAGATTTAATTTAACATAATTTCGTAATATAAAGATAACTTAAAGAAATTGTCCATCGACAGAACATCTTTTCAAATTACTTAAGGGGAAGACAGTTCGTTCATGTTTTCAAAGTCTTATCAACACTGGCACTAATAATAATTTTACACACTATAACTTAACTATACTAACTCAAAAGGTTTAGTTCTTATAGTCTACGTACTAGATTTATATTGTCTAGTAGCTGTAAATATAGCCTCTATGTTCACGTAATGATGAAGTCTATATATGTTAGTGAGCTTCGGTGTACTTTTTTATCACTTTATCTCGGGCTCCATATCCAAATTGCGATGCAGATCTTCACTTCGTATATACCAAGGAGTACCCAGAATTTAATAAAGCACACACTCATAGCCCCTCACTAGGTAAACGCTGGGTGGCGGGAGTCATGGACACACACGTAGACAATCATAAATTAGACCCAAACTAACGAGAGAAGTAAATGTAGGCCATACAAATACTTCTGCCGTCCCGGGAACCGATCCCATGACCTCTTCGTGACAGACCAGCATGGTATTCGTTCGGCCACGGAGGAATTGTCCTCAGCATTTTAATTTGGAAGCGTTGTAATATCTGTATGTTGCTTTTAGCGGGACAGGTCCAGAGCTGGATACCTAAGATCCATACTGGCATAAGGAACTATTTAGGTATACAATAATATTTTATTGCACACAGATAGTGAAGAGCATTTGACATTTTCTTGAAACGTAGGTATGTCCACTTCGTCTTTTTTTAACTTTTTTATAACCAAAGTTAATGTGTATTGTTTCGTTTTCATGAAGTTTTATTCGACACTTCTTGGTCCACTCATGGTAATCCATGAGTGGACCGAAAGTGAAGGTTACTGTCTTTTTGAATTTTACTAACCGCTTACTTGTGGTTGTTTCCTACATCCATAATTGTTGTATTCTTACTACATGGACATAAAAGTTTTTCTGACCGACTTAATGGGATTCCTTGTCGATGTGTGGTGACTCCTTAAGGTGCCAGCCACCTTAATATTTATTTATTTCAGATTTAAGATAACAACAACTAAAAATTATATACGGTACTAACCAAATACATAGATGTCGTTGGTAACTAACAATCATAGTAGTAAATCGTGATATTCATTAAACCTTAAAAATTGCAACTAACAATATAATCGAGAGCCAAAATAAATTTATCAGTTCAACTGTAATGCCAAGGAACTTTAAGTTTAAGAACATTTATTCTTCGCAATTTAAAAATTACGCTTTGCTTAGGCCCCAGATGCAATATGAACAGTTCGTTTTGTATTTAAAAAAATCTAAAGTGAAGTTCTTTTGAGCAGTGTTAAGTGTAAGTTAATTGCTGTATTTCAGTGCCATCGCTGCTTCAGAACGAGGCGAAGTTCATTAATACGAATCGCGTGTAAACATCAGCAGCGCGGCGGCCGCGGTGCATTTGCTCGTTCTTTGATTCGCACAATCTGTACTTTGCCAATGCGAATGCTAAAGCGATTTGTCGCCGTCCAGCACATATCTAAACTTTGATGTACTGTCGAACACAGTTGTTGAGCAGTTTGCTTAATTTGTTTGTTACTTCATTAGTAACATATTTACAGGAGAGCAGGTATATAATATTATATAATTGGGAGCATGGAGTGAGAAGTCAAGGCCAACGAATTGTCGGGGATTTTATTTCGTTTTTAATACTTGGAATGTTTAAAGAATTTAAATTTTCCTACATTTATATTAATTTAATCCTTAAGCAGAGTCAGACATTTTATTGAATAGGTGTCAAGTTACAATTTAGACTTTCGTTTGCGATTGTACCTCACAGGTCCAGGGCTTAGTCCAACTATGTGACATTTCCCCGCATCCACTATCTAAAGGTTGCCTACTCAAAGCTCGAAGTCTGCGCCTGCGCCCTCGCGCAAAAGGTTATACTCGCTACAAATTTAATACTACCTTACCAGCGGTGTCACTGAACATTAATGCCGTTTGTTTCTACGCTCATCTTCAATTTATAATTGTGTAGCGATTATAACAACTTTTACCTTCAAAAAGATTAGTGTCACTGGGGATTGTTACTTTTATCAGCTGTTGTACGATTGTATAGGGTGGTCGGACAGAAAATATGTTGTGCAGATCATTCTGGCAGGGGCGATTGACATCGCGAACCAAACAGCTGAGGTAAAATGCCCTTGTGATCTCAACTTAAAAATTAAAATTACGCGTCTGCTTCGCAGCGCCCGCCGTTTGCACGTTCCTCTCACGTAAACTGTGGAAATTAGCCAGATTTTGTATACTTTCAAGCTATAAAATATAGTTGGGAGTAAAGTCCGTCGAGCGGCGCCATCGATCAAGCACGGCGCTTGTTAAACACCGTTTCTCACATCACAACAATAGCCCTCTGCAGGCATATTTCAAACCATCCCGATAGCAACATCGGCCGGCCGATCGGCTTGCGAGCCGCGCTCTAACTTAATAAATCACCCCTATACAATATTTATTCGCCGTAAACCTTCACTACGAGTTCGCGATGCCATTTTGCTGTTGAGAACGCGCGGTATCGGACTGACTGGAATAGGCCTATAGCTGGATAAATTCACATGAGCTGCTGTAAGTGAGTCGGCGAAGGTAAACGATAGTAAGGGCTATGTTTACGCGAGAGGCGTACGTCGTACGACGTCATCTAGTATTGATATCTCAATAGGGAAGTCTGTAAGTGACCGCGTTAAGTTATGGCAGCAATTTTTTAAAGTCCACGGCGGCGGCGCAGTGCGGGCCGGTACGGAATTATCGGTCGGTTTAATAGCGTAGCTTTAAAGCCAATTAGTTGTTGGCACAACGACCGACTCGAAATGTTTATATATTGCAAAACATCTTGTATAAGTTTCTCGATATCGAATTTTAGTTTTAAGAATAATTGTTTACGAGAATATTGAAGTATCTGCTATCTAAATAAGTATTCCATAGTATTCTCATATGAAACGTGCAGAAAAATAAAAGAAGGTTCCCTCAAAATTTCAAATTAATTGTGCGTAGTTATCATTGTTGTATTTTATTTACCTACTTTAATAAGGAATTAAAATTGTACGTTTTGTAGTTTTTATATAACAGTATGTACAAATAGATATATTAATATTAGATTTGTTGCTGTTTACTTTTAAAATTGCCTTTGGTAACGCCATATTTCTTTTGGCTTTATTTATAAAAGACTAAAGATCCACATATTTACGAGGCGCATCTTCAGGGCATCCTAAAAATGTTCGCTACGCCGTGTAAACAAAATTCCGTATAAAATTATCTCCAATTATAGGTTAATTCATAATTACCGTTTGCCGTACCATACGAGTATTATTAAAGCCGTAATCATAATTGGTTCTGCGGGAATCTCGCATAGTTGACGGTAAATATCATACTGTTTAGTCGGAGCTTACATGTTTATAGCATGAAGTAGGTAGGTAGTAGTGTTTATAAAATTACTTTTATGCATAGGCATGGTCACGTCATTCTTATATGGAGGTAAGATTATTTATAAAGTTAGCTATCAATATCAACGAGATAAAACCACATTTTATAAGTATAATAAATCATTAAGCAACTTAAGAAAAAACACCTTCGAATATTAAGTTAACGATCGTAAAATAAACAACATACAAAAGTATTGGTTTAGATGAGAACGTAATCGCTGATTCGATACGGCGCCAATGGAATTTGTATTGATAATAATTGTTAAAATATTGCACATTTGCTGGGAATTATAAGCCATTCAATTCGTATTGCATTTCTGTTGACCCGGACTGAATGATGGCCATAAATGATGAAGAAGGACTATGTCGTCCGATACTCACAATTTGTTTTCAAGATAATGGGTCAGACGTAATCTAAATTACGTTCTGTGACACTTAGTTAGGGAAAACTTAAACGACAATCAAAACATAAAGGGTAAGATAGCTCGTGGTTGTATGCAAAAGTTTAAAGAAATAGACGCAGGTATAGTAATGGACACCGCACTTGATCCGCATGACAGTTTGGAGCCAATTTTACGGATTTATAACCATCCATCCTGCATGTGACCTCTGCAACTACTCTACGTCGTATAAAACTCCACATTTGACGTTTGTTCACATAATAATTGCGCCGGCGCGGGCCATGATGAAGTGATTTCACCCTTGATCGCCGGCCGATTGGCGGTTGTTTCGATATATTAATGGGTAATAAGAGATTCTCGGGGCAAGGACGATTAAGTTGAATGTTTGTGAGTGGGATAATTTAGCGCTCGTAAGCCCTGAATAGGCTTGTATTAGATGAGAGGCTTTACTGTCTCGGGACGTAGGTAATATGCTCACATGATTGTATTGTAGCGGTACATTTCTTTAATGTCAATTGTACTGCAATGGTTTGCTTCTATCAAATTATCGATTGTTTAGCTGCAAAATGTTACATACCTACGTTTCGTTAAACTAATAGAAATAATAATAGTTAGGTAATTTAGGAGATGAAAAGTAAGTAATTTGGGAATATAATCGCTTTTTGTTTATTATATCAAGTGACGGCACGAACAAGTCGTGCATTTGATGGTAAGCTATAACAGTTGCAGTGCCACTCAGAGCTTTATATGTATTGAGTAAATCGTGCAAATGCCATTGTACTAAATAGGTACAATAAGAAATTTCCTAGGTGAACTTACCACGATCAACGTCTCCGTCGAAAATTTTTCTAGTTACAATTTGTATATTATTCAATTAACACTGTGATGACGGGACAATTTGTATGAGTAGACTGCTTTACAAAATATTAAGAAAAGTGTACTTATTAAGCATAATATGGGTTTAAATGTGCAAGTTAAGTCAACTACTTACTTGCTGAAAGAAGAGTTTGGTCAATGAACTATTTACGACAAAAGTGTTAGTAATATTTATATAATTATTTCAAATTGTGTTTAAATTACCTACCTACTTGCGAAGTAATTAATAAATAAAGCAATTATTAATAATCACGTACGAGTCTTCATTCTTATATGTACAATAACAGATATATACAGATCTTACCTCAACACCTGATTGGTACAGACAATGACAGGACGCTGGGAGTTCTCCAGGTTGTCCTTGAGCTGGAGCACCGCGTGGACCCATAGGAACTGGCCGGAGCGGCGTTGCAGTCTCAACAATGCTATGCAAGACCTCTCCTGCTCGGATTGAGTTACTGCAACAAAAGAAATACTGATATACATACATATCTATTACCACGCCCGTTTAAGTGTAGTAGACAGAGATTACGGATGAGTATTTTAATTGTTGATTATTTCTGCGTAATTATGCTCCAACAACACCATCAATAATTAAATTTTTATTGAATTGATATTCAATTATTTTTTGTGAAATTACTCAATACTCAATACTCAATACGTTTATTGCAGACCATAATGTTACAATGTTAGGTGGTAGTAGCAGTTAACATTATGGACCCTGTAAGGGCACAGCAAAACTAAAAACAACTGCATGCACAGTTGTTTTTACAAATTTAAACTTATTCTATTGTAAACTAAATAACTAATATAATGAAATGATGATTAACTTAGACAATTATTTGTTATGTAGGTATTACTGAACAATATAGATTAATCCAAAATAAAATATTTAAATTTGAAATTTGAATTAATTAGATTATTATTGTATTAATATGTATTTTTTGAAATTAAATATTTAAATAATCATTTGGAAATACTCCAATAGTTTGTTATAATTATTAATACAAAGATCGAACACTCAGAAAAAATTCCTTCGATCCGGTCGGATTCGAACCGACGTCTTCTTGCATACCGTGCCAGACGCTATATCAACTAAGCCACGGAACGAACCAACGGACCTCACGAATTTTTCTATGTGCTTGCGTCGTGTCTTTGTACTTGGTCTTTCAACGACTTTTTAGTCGTAGCGCCATCTATGAGAAATCTTTAACAGATTTATCACCCAGTTAGTACCTTTACAGCTACCAGTCCTGGCGAGAGATGTCGCTATTCACTGTATTAATTAAATTTTTATTGAATTGATACTCAATTATTTTTTGTGAAATTACTCCACTAGTTTGTTATAAATTATTAATACAAAGATCGAACACTCAGAAAAAATTCCTTCTTTTTAGTCGTAGCGTCGTTGAAAATCGTTGAAAGACCAAGTACAAAGACACGACGCAAGCACATAGAAAAATTCGTGAGGTCCGTTGGTTCGTTCCGTGGCTTAGTTGGCATAGCGTCTGGCACGGTATCCAAGAAGTCGTCGGTTCGAATCCGACCGGATCGAAGGAATTTTTTCTGAGTGTTCGATCTTTGTATTAATAATTATAACACCATCAATCTTGAAACTTTATAGTCAGTACGTTTATTACATATGATTACGTTGAAATATTTTAAAATAATTAGAATTAATTATCACGTCGAAAAATTTAAAAAAAATAACTGACGACTACAACGACGTCTTAATGCGAAGACGAATTAATGCGTGAAGTCGTTATCAACTGCATGCAGTCGTGGTCTCGGCTGCATGAACTTGATAACGACTTCACGCATTAACTGCAAACATGCATTCAATCTGTTAGCAGCCTAAGATGATGTATAGGCAACAGTACACCAAGCTAAACACTTCGAATATCGCCTCCAGTGCATCAGAACAAGATCCGTCAATGTGTAGTTTGATGTCCTGCCGTTTTTACGGTAGTAAGTGTTGAGTGTAGGAGAAAAAGCATGAAAGTAGGTTCATTGGTATAGAAATGACAGTTATGTGCAGTGTTTGCAGCGGTAGTAGAAAATGGAATGGTCCGAATGTTTGGTCATAGTTTATAGTCAGTAAGTATATTGATTGCACAATCGAATATTGTTGGAAATTTAGAGGTAGGTTTGTCGAGGTAGACCGGTAGACAGATTAGGGATGTCTTTACAAAAATACGTAGGTACACCACTCTTATCCTACACGGCTACTTTTCGGTACACTTGCGATTTATAGACGATTCCATCGATGCAACGCGCGACTGCATCGATACAAACGCGCGATTGCATCGATGCAATCGCTTATTAATGCCAAGTGTAGCGATGCTATCGCGTGTTTGTGGCGATGCTGTCGGGCGCTTGCACCGCGTTTGCATTTGCTGCTTAAAATCGCGCGCGTGTCAAGGTAGACGATTAGCGTCTGCATCGCGTTTGTATCGCGTTTGCAACCGTTCTAAAATACGAAGAATAAACGAGAATGTATGAATAGATATGTACGAGAGCAAGTGGAGATTCATGGTTCTTGCATGTCCACCTCTGTAGGCCTTTAGAAGCGTGGTGGAGTGTATGTAGCGTTTGTTAGTAGTAGTGTAATAGTTGATACAAGTCAAGATACAAGCGCTTGTAGCAAAATAGTAAATCGTGGTAGAGAACAGGAAATTAGCTATTAGGTAATGGATAAGTTTGAAAATTGAACTGCAAGCGAGGACTTGTAATACAATTCCAGCGGTTAGCATTTCCTTCAAGGTATATCTCAAAGATCGAAAAGAAAAGCTAAAGATATTTACGGAAAACAGTCCTTTAAATTTTTTTAATATTTTGAGAATACAGCTAAAGAAACCTTTGATCAATTACGTTCGCTTTAGATACAACGACGAAAATAATAAATAATTAGGCGTGTTTATACGTCGCTTCTCGTATTCTATTTATAAACTAGTTATAGTCATCATTATTATAGTCCTTGAAAATAAAGCACCTAGACTTTGGCTCAATTCACACTGGCGCAGAGTCGAATCGTCGCGTCGCGTCCTGTTTTTCAACTACAACGCCGGGCGACACGCGTCGACGCGCGACTCCATATTTGCATAACACAAATTCGTACACACGCCAGCATATCAAGCTACACATTGACATATCTTGTTCCGTTGCACAGGAGGCGATTTTCGAACAAAAATGTGTAGTCTGATGTGCCGTTGTCCGTACCTTAACAATGGGAAAATAGAGATGAATATGCTACAGGAGAAAAACAAGACGCGTCGCGAGGCTTCGACTCTGCGCCAATGTGAGTTGAGCCTAAAGGTGCTTTTCCTCCCGTGAGGCGAGACGAGAATTGAAATCTCGGCCTATTTTTACCAAAAATTTCCATTTTTTACATTTTGATTTTATACATTGATATCTATACAGAGAGTTAATTTTTAAATCAGTAAATTTTTTTTATGTTTAAGTAAAACACTTGACACATGAAATTTGACCAATTTCTGATGTCCCAATTTTTTTTCATCCTGTACAATGGAATGACCCTTACATAAAACTGAGTCGATCAGCACAAAAAAATTTGATCAATTTCATTGATTTTTATGGACAGTTGTCCGACCACTTGACCAAAAAGTTGAATATCGACTGCGAACTGGCAAGCGGTACTATCTTAGTGTTGAAAACTTTACGGGATGTAGAAAAAAAAGTATATAGCTTCTGGTTTATTAAATAAAAATACGTAGTGCACGTACATAAATGTGTAATAAAAATATTTAAAAACTAAGTATTTTTAAATATTTTTATTACTCCATATAAATATTTTTATCTTCACCTGTAAAGATGTCAAATTGAGATAGTACCGGTTGCCAGTTCACAGTCGATACACCGAAATTTTTTTCACAAAAAAAAACTTAATGGTTCCTAAGACAGTTTTCTTGTATCTTCTATGGTTTTGGACTTCTCCATACTGACCCATTTAAAAAAGACCCTGTATTGCGAACTCGCGATTGAAAAACATCGATAGTGAAGATGCAATGGTACAAGTTACAGAAGCTACACCAATAACCATATGTTTAAAATTATAAAATATTGGAATATCAATAGAGTAAGTAAATTAAGTAAGTAAAAGGCACTATGCCATTATTTGTCGAAAAGCCATCGTTTTATAACGTTAAATCGTAGGGACGTATTACCACAATCTTGCGATTGATATTAACAAATATCACGGTCTTAGGCGAACAGGTGCGATATCATGCGTGGTTACGCGGTGCATTGCGTGAATCGTGTTTTTATTGTAGAGTATACACCACAAAAATATTAAACCCCCAAATATTGTAATATATTACACCAACAAATATTTAAAAAATTCGTTTCACACATCTTCGTCGATAGAATTGAAATTGTGCTATACAAACTCAATCTTTGCTTCACCTCGCCGGTGGAAGCACAGCTTACGGATGTCCTCTAAGAAGTGTCTCCGTGGTCGAACGGGTTCGATTCCCGGGCTGGCTGAAATATTTGTATGACTTACATTTGTGTCTCTTGTGGGTTTGGGTGTAATTTGTGGTTGTCTATGTGTGTGTCCACGGCACCCGTGATACAAGGTTTCCCTAGTACGGGGGTATGAGAGTGCAGGTAGTGGAATTTCGTATTCCCTGCCTACTCCATCAGGGGACAGGCATGACAGTTTGTATATGTGATACTATAAACATTTCTTTTTCAAAACAGATTTTTATTTTGCAATTATTATCAATAAAGCTCATTATTTTGTCGATCTTTGTCAATGACAAGGTGAAGTTGCTACAAAGTCTGCGTTTGCGCAGCTCCGTATATGGAGATCGAATCTCCGTCCATCGTGTCGTCATAAATGGCTTGTTGATTTGTTTACAAGATAAACCTTTTTGGACAAGCCACCTGTTTAGAATTAACTGGCTCATTCACACTTGTTTCATGTACTAAGTATAATAAGCTGTCTTTTGGTCACTCTCAATTACACTCAACAACGGCATACTAAACTGTCACATTTTTAACTGCAGAACACTAATTAAATGATGTATGACGCAATTTGCGAAGATGCGATTGAATTATTTCTTTTGTATATTATCTCTTAATACATACAATGTTCTGCACAATTGATACTTTATTACCATATTTAATTTGTAAGATAATTCAAATTTAACATTCGTTCAAGATTTCATTGACTTGTTATCTAAACCTGGTTGTAATTATAGTTCCCTTCTAAACTCGAGGCTGCTGGACATCCGTGTGCGCCGAGCGTCCCCTATGAATGATCGCTGATTTATTACTACGCCTGTATATTAATTAAGTAATTCTGAATTAATGGACTATACGTTATAATTAAACGAGTAGAGATTCCAAAGTGCTCGTAACACAATATCGAACGAAGTTTAGATATTATAAGAAGAAAAAATCAATATCGATTATCCGAATGATATGTCTTCTTCTGTGCTGGCCACACGTGTGTGGTTTGTTTTTTGTATTTTTTTCTCATATCGATAAAAAACCGAAAACATGAAAATTTAGGTACAACAATTATTATTCTTTGTGTATTTTCTAAGTAAACATTTTTTCAATTAATTGTAACAACAATATCATTTGTACTGAAGATGTTTGTACTTGGTAAATTCCAAAATTTACAACAATGCTGATCTATTTATAGTACTTTGGACTTTACCAGCGCTTTAATATTGCCTTCCTTGTCATGCTAACGCATTTGCATTTCGGTAACTTTCGAGATAATGGCGTCTAAAGTTTTTATGCTAGTGAAACAAGTAAAAAATGGCAACTAGGTACGTTGATTGTGTTTAACAATTGAAACTAAATAATATATAAAATGCCGCTTATAATGGGATTGTAGATCACGTTTCGCTGATCTCAGATGTGTCAATAACTCATCATCATCATATCAGCCGGAAGACGTCCACTGCTGAACATAGGCCTCGCCCAAAGATTTCCAGATAAGCCGATCGCGTCCGATCGGTTGGTCTGGAACCCCCAATGTCAATAACCCCTCAATTTTGCTAAAAACGACGATTACGTTAGTTGTGATAAGGTGGGCAGCATAACACAAATAGTACAGTAGTATTTTGGTTTGAAATTTACACTCTAAACGTTGTGCATCCAAGAATTTTAACATTTTAATACCAAACATATTTTTAGGCGTGACGCACCGCAAAGGTGTAGATCAATATTCATAATTATTTTACTGGCATTTTTGGAAGTTCTCACTACGCAATTCAATTTACATCAATTTCAACGTCATGTTTTTATTTTTTATTTTTTGTAGAAATACATGACACGATGTTTATATGCTTTTTGATCACATTTTTAGTCGTAAATGTTCAAGAATTATTTCGAATCGAATGGGTCAACTGTACCCACTTTTGAAGCTAGTAATTTAAACTACGACCTTGAATCTAATTTACCGATTTTAGAATTTATTACATTTTGCAGTAAGACACTTATGTTTTGAAACTGCAATATATTACCGACTGGACAAATAAGTATCGGTTTTATTATCCTAGTTCTCACATTTGTTGGGATTTGTTTATATTTACCTGCCTACCGTAGTTTTATCTAAGTACAGCTTTGATAATATGTTCAATAATCTGGGTCTAAGGGCCTACCCATTGCTAGGTATAGCTGTAATTGAGTATCAATTATTTATAATACAGGTACTATAGATATCTACGTACACATGTAAATAACGATATTAGAAAAAAAAAAGAACTATTTCTACTCATGCTATTCTCATTGTATTATTTACTAACTCACATCATTTACAAAGGTCAGTCCTTGTCATTTTCGATTATCGAATCAACGGAATGATGTCTCGGATATTCGAATGCGTTGCAGAGTGTACATATCTATTTCGACTATACTATATTTAGGCAACTCGAGAAAGTTCTTTTACGTGCCAATGTATGCTTTATACCCACGCGTTAAGGGAAACATTTGACATCTCAGTCTGCGAACGTACGTTTGCAGAGGAGTAATGAGGGTTAATGCCAGACGGCTATTTGTGCAATCTCAACTGTTGGTTTTAGACTCGAGAACAGATTGACGACTGCTATGATTGTGGTCGGGACGGCTAACTGCTAGTGCGTTTATCTCCAACTAACTACTTATTTTACTTATATGTATTTGCTGAAGTGGGTTTGATTTGTGATCTGCTATTTTGTGAGCTCTACCTACGCTCAACATTAAATAAATGCAAATGATATGACTGCAAATAGAAATAATTAATTTTCTGTCATTCTGCATAGTATAACAGAAACAACTTTGTAACGTGAGTATCATCAAATATGAAACTTGTATAGCATAGAGTACCCATTAATACCACAAATGTGTGTAATACGGAAGAAAAAAACAGTGGATGGGCGTAAAGCCTCGATTACTATAAGAACCGCTTTCGCCAAAACTCACACTATCATAATTGTAAACACTATAAAATCTTGATAATGATTGGTCGTAGTTTCTAATTTAAAACGTAATAAATTTTGGACTGTTAACATAATTTAAATATTGCCCAGATCGCATATCGTTGAAAGTTTAATACCTATTGCAAGTTACGAAGTTTTCATTTTATATTGAAATTATGATAAATTATTATAAAACTGTATCTGTTATTATGTGATGATTACACTCTGTTTGTGTACCCTTAAAATAAAAAAAATTAAATAAAAGTTATAAGTAAGTTTCGAAGCTTTCGAAAAATTTTATTAACCTATCGCGACACACAGGTTCAGAATGCCATTTAGGTATCTGTGCGACTCTGACTATCTATGAAATATTTCCTGCAAGAAAACAGTTGCCTCACGTATGCAACTCACCTGTTATCTATCACTCTATCGGAGTGGCTCAAGAGCATCTTCGCAACACTTCGCAAACACTGTTTGAAAGTGTTCCAATTTTGAATTTACCCTAGCTACTCAAGTTTCCGTCAAGCGGAAAGTCACGAGTCCTTGCGCACTTTTGGAATTGAAGTTTCGTATCGCGAATGCATAAAGTTTAAAATTGTTTGCTTAAACGGTTTAGTCGAGTTCTCGATTTAGTCGATTTTAATCGCTCACGTAGTCGAGTAAAGCGTTTACACACGATCGTCACGCGCGGCGTCTGCGTCAACTCGCAACTTTCTCTTGAACGTGTGAGGTTGACATGTGCCCATCCGTTAGCGATAGCTCATATTATTGTCGTAGGTTATCAAAGAGGATCGTATCACAAATATCACATAGGATGTTTGATGTTCTTTGTGGTTAAAAGTTTTCATGGTTCAAAATGTTTAGCGTGGAATATTAAGAGTTAAAATTTTACATCCATAGACAACTGCGAATAATTCGGAATCTCGAAATTGTTATGTACAACCTACTACATTATCAAAAGCGTTACGTTTTCGTAATTACTATGGTTATTTTATTGATTTTAAAGCATCGACAATAAACGAGTAAGAGGTTACCTATCACAAGCTAGAAACATTATTTACAGAATTTTGTTTCTTCGGAAACCTTTAGACTTGTATTGAATAAGATTTTGTTTCATTTGTCCGAAAACACGTTACGGTTTTTTTCATTACACCATTTAATGTTTCACTATTTTGACATATTCACAAGTTATTTTTTTCCCGATTATTATTTCTCCAACAAACCGTTTGAGCAATGTATCCAATTGAATATTTTTATTTTGTAAAAATACCATATCCATGATACATTTTTGTTATATTATTTCTTATTACTGATTAAAAGTCGCACAATACAACTCGTCAAATGAAAGCACCTCGCATCTTTAGAAAAAGAGATGCAATTGTGGTAAAAGAGATGCAAGTCAATTTGATCTAGTTGTAGTCGCTCGTTTCGCTCGTTCGGATCGTGCTGCTTTTTTGTATACTAACCTAACCTAAACCTACAGGAGGAGGTCGAAATGCAAACAAATTCGTTTCTGGTACTTTCCTCGATTCAGTTATAAGTTATTTATTGAATACTCAGATAACACAATGGTATGACGAAAATTACGTAAGTGGACTTGCTGTGCACCAGCAAAGTATAGTCCAGAATTGTGGAGCTGTATGGCAAAATTGTATGGCGGTACAATTTTATCTAAAAATAATAATTTTGTCGGAACGAATTTTCAGCAACCTAAATTATATGGAAAACAGACAGTATAACAAACATGATTAGACCAAACAAACTTCTGCCCAAAGAATACGTACGTGTAATAATTATTGTAATAATAGGTTTTTGGACAAACGATACTTCTGCTTTAAGACATTTCTGTGTTGCAAATTTATACCAAAACTGTCATCGCACTAATGAAAAAAAGTCGAACCGTTTTCGGAGTAATGAAATTCGGAAAAAAGAAATTCAAGTTTGTGATAGGTTACCCGGCCCAATGTATAATAATATTAATTTATTCTAGACTTATATTTCGCAAACTCATTTATACAATGATATTTTTTTTAATTGTTATATTGATGCAAATTATTCAAGCGACGTTTAATGAACTGTAAATAAAAATAAATTGTTATTTGTTTGCATTAAAGAAAACTACCAGGAATGCATAACAGGGATTCCTTCGAAAGTCAATATATAGCGGATATCATAACTTCGATTAAATTAATAGCTTTTTAATGGCTTGCACACCGGCTTTCATGGTGTCGCCATCTCTGAGGTCTCGGGTTCGATCCCCGGCTGGGTCAATATAGCAACTAGCTTTTCTTAGAGTCCCGGGTTTGTGGTACCGTCGTTATTTACGTTTTCCATAACACAAGTGTTTTAGTTAGGTACTTACTTTGGGATCAGAGCAACTTATGTGATGTTGTCTAATATTTATTTATTATATTTATATAGTTTTGTTTAATGTTAAGCATTAATTATTATATATAGTATTACTCAAAACTGTGCAAATCATGTTCCTATTAAGGTACAAAACTGGTTTATTCGACGAAGGTGCTTGTTTAGCTGACAGTACATAGACATGCTAGCAGTCGAAGGAAAGTATTTCGGATTAAGAACTATGAATTGTGATCAAATACTTACTAAGCCTGTGTTTGCTCTGCGCCTCTTTGCAGCAGTCGGGGTGAAGAAGGTGGTACCAGCTGACTCCGTGCAGCGAGCTGCGCTCCCAACCCAGGTGCCACTCGCTACTGGACACAGAAACAACATTTTAGTTTTATCAATAATTTCTATTTCGTAAAGCATGGCAGTAAGTATTAAAATTTACTAAAGACATAGCTACTGGTAAGATTTTATATAGGATAAATAACTAAGTATATATTTATATGCTAGATTAAATTATCTGGACGAATTTGGTTTCCGCGTGCACCTGAGTGCCTAAAATTCTAGAAGTATTATTCCTCTTCAAAGCATTTGTCTAAATTTGTTCAGGAACTATGCGAAGCCATTGGAAGTACTGGAAATTCAAAAACAGCCACTTATGGCCGCAACATAGCCGCAGAAGCACACCTTATTGCTTTAAAAATGATTATAAGTAACATTAATACAGGTAAGACCCGTTACTCTTTCTCGAACGTATATTTTGTTATTTTAATATTTTCATGTCGATTACTTGACGAACGGAAATATGAAAGAACCACTTTTTTTGACTTAGCTTTAGGTAGATAATAAATCAAATTGAATTAAAGCTCGATGTTAACGCATGATTTATACCCAATACGAATCAGGAAGGTGATAATTACTTAATCAAAACAGCCAGAACCTATTATGCAAACATTATCTATGAATCGGGACAATTGTACAAACCCGGCAAGGTCTCCGAAATGATTGATCGACAAGATGACCCTATCAGATATTTGTTTTGGCTATGTCAAGTTCACTTTAATTACATTTGTAAATGATAAATGAATTGTGCTGTCTGTCTTATAGATACAATTAAAAAAAGAGTTAAGCGTGTTCTATTAGTGAACACAGAAACAATATGGTTGTAAAAATATAGCGTCTTTGTATTCCTGGAGATCTAATGTTATTTCATAAAGTTCATGATTGTCATTCATTTTAGCTTCACCCTTTTTTATGAAAGTATTTATAATTACACTTTTAAATACATATGAAATAAAATAGGTATTTTTTACCAATAATTATTTTGTGTTAGCAATAAACGAGGAAGGGTATGAATAAACAGCATAATTTTATAAAAGACTTCTTTCAAGATTTTAGTGAACAAAGGAAATGAACTAATGAAA